AATGGCACGAAAGACTGATACTGAAAGGGAACTCGCCAGTAAGGGTGATTCTTCCTAAGAAAGGAAACCTGTTAAGAAAAAGGAAGATGTGCAGTGTTGGAGAGTGTTTGATTCACAGCTGGAAACAGAGCCAGTGGCTTCAGGGAATTGCAGGCTGGGAGTTGCATAGAGCTTGGTTGCTTCTTTGAATACGGAGGTACCGAATGCCCAGCTGTTCCTCTGGCTTAGATGCCTCATTTCAAAAGTGCATTTGCGAAGCCTGTGTGTTGCTTTGTTTATATTACAAACTCCCTGAAGAGTGCAGTGTCAGCTCCTGGGGAAGCTTTGGTGGACAGTTTTGGTCCTAGAATTTAGGGTGGCTAAATTTAGGGCAGGACCAGGATGGGGGAAAGATAAGTGCTTTCTTACCTACCCAAGAATTAATTTTCTGTGCCTTATCTGTTCAGGTAAATTATTGCATGGGCAGTTCTGATAGTGGTATTTAAGAATTAATCCTTTTGTAACTTACACATGGGAAAGTTGATCTAAATTTAGATTTAGAGGGCTTTTTTAAAGCTCCCTGTGCATGCTAGACTTGCACTGCACAGCTCTGGGCTGTAGGAGTCTCTTGTTAATCTGAATACTTTCCCTGCCTGGTTCCTCTTACTTTAGCCTTTGGAATGTGGTGGCGGTGGCAGATGCTAGTCGCACCATATCCAGATGTTTTCCAGTCGGGTACAACCACGATTTTTACAACTCATATTTTCTTTTCTTTCAATGTAGCATATGAAATTGGAAACAAAGCCAAATGCTTTCTGATGTGTGACGTTGGTTTTCCAGGAGGAACTGAATTGTTTGGTGGATTTGGGGGAAAAAAAACAACCAACCGAAAAAAAAACCAACAACCCCAAATCAAGCAGATGTGCCAACAAGAACTGAAGGCTCATGTGTTTGAATGTTTAGTAGACTTAAATTTCATTATAAGTGCTGTTTGGAACATGACAGCTCAATAATTGCCCATGAAATTAGATCAGCATTCAAAACCACCCTGTGAGAAAATCTGGTTGACTTGTTTTCTTTGCCTGTGTATAATCCCGAATGTTACCCAAGCAGATTAAAATAAATGCCTTTTCTAGTAGCTCTTCTGTTTCTAAAAAATAGAAATTACTTTTAAGAAGTGGGTGATGGAGGAGATCAGTTGGTGGTAGAAAGGAAGGTGCATAGGCCTGGAAGAGTCACTTGCTGTGGTAGGTGGCTCCATTGACTTCATCTCAGAATGAGATGGAGCTTGAGTGTATTTTGCAGATGATGGCTCCTCTGATGGTTAGAAACCTGCACTTGCCTTCTAACTGGAATGTACTCAAAGTACATTAAAATACTGATTTGTGGTAATACATAAGGATATTACTTCAAAACCTAAATTTTACTGAAGTGCCTGTTTGATAAACACTTGTTCTGGAGGAAACACTTAATCTTCTCTGTTCTTAAAGCCAACAGAAACCTCGCTGCTAATACAGCGTGAAGAAAGTGTTTGTAATTGCTATTTGATTGTTCAATTAAAATGACTTAAGGCAGCTCGATGTAAAAATGTAATCTGTCTTAGTAGCAAAGCCCGGGCTTACGATTTATACTGCAGTAGAGCCTGTGCTGTGGTAGGCACACAGTGCTCAATATAAACCCGACTTGGCTCAAGTGAGGTTGTGAAGGCAACCTAGGACTGGGGAAAAACGCTGGTGCATGTAAAGTGATTGAGCACCTGCCATGCAGTCATCGTTTTTGCGGTTTAGTGTTTTATTAAAATATTGTGAGGTTCTTCTAAATTAGAATTTGAATACAGGGGCATTTTAAGGAGTTGTTCAGTGTCTGCCTTTAGCAGACCTAGTGTTTAACCTGTAATTCAAATACTGGGTGTGCTGTGTGCAAACTGCAAATGTGCGAATGATGCACCTGCCCAGGGAACTGAAATGAGTTTTGCTGTACGTGGTGATGCCTTGCATTGGTGGTATTGAGTCCAAAACCAAGGGATCTGTGGCCAGGTTACCCTGCATTTGCGAGCTGCCAGCTGGGGAGCATCCTAAATTACTCTGAATAGAATCTTCAAAGTGGAATGCAGAAGAGAGGATCAGCAGATGTGAGAGCCTCTACTGCTGAAGAACTGTATGCAGAGTACTGCACACCATGGGATTTTCCAAGTGAGCAAGCAGTGAAGGGTTGGCTACAGTGGTGAGGGCATGTCCTTGGCACTCCCAAAACTGAAAGCAGCTGTAGTTGCCTCAGTCAAATGGCCTTGAGGGATAATCGGTCACTTTTTAGCGGTCTGGGCTTTTATGTTACAGAAGTGCATAGTTAAGGCTTGCCTCAGAAGAATGACTACAATCTCCTTCTTAACCAAACTTGTTGGTTTATATAATAACAATAAAAATGCTTCCTATGTAGTTTGTATTGCTGGTTCCAGCTGGGGGGGGGTGGTGGTGGTGGTGGTGCGTGTGTTAAAAAAATTCTGGTGTGCTAAGTGCTGGAACTAAAGCTGGGCTTTTGTACAGGTGGGTAAGCTCTCTGAAGTGTATCATGACTGTGTTTGTGTTTCACAATGGTAATTTGCTTGAAAGGTCTCCCACAAGAAAAAAAACAAATTGGGAAATGCTGCTTATTGTTCATAAAAAATAGAAGAACGAGCTCTCATATTAGGTGTATAGTCAACTTGGGTTTCCTTCTTTTTTGCTTAAGAGCAGCTGCCCAGTTTGGGAAAGGTTGTTCATAAAGTAAGATTTGTGATGCGCTTAAAATCTCAAATTCACTTCATCTCGATTGGTTTCTCCTTGTCTATTCCCACCTATCCACAAAACAGACTTTTTTTACTGACAGGATTTGAAGACTTGATTGTTTGCTGCAATACCACATTTTCCTTAACTCCGAGTTATGCCTCCGAGCAAAGTACAAGCTTGCATTTGCAGCATAAATATGTCAGTTTAGATTGTCAAGTCACAAGTGCTGATTTGTTTGCCTCTGTGCTTAAAGGATATCTTTCTGTGGGGTAGCAGGGTGAAAATAACATGGGTAGTTGTTTTATTCCACAGCAGTGAAGAAATGCATACTGTTTGGAAATGTCGTTAAGTATATATTGGTCAGAACTGTGGTTTGTCGAAATCGCTTCTAAAAATAAAAAGATCCTTTCCTCGCTGTGATTATTGCTTTGCCTAAGGAGAACTAGGGAGCAGGGGAATGAAGGTCACTGTGATAGTGAAGTGGAGACTTAGCCACGGTTTTGCCCCCGTGGTGGCTTTGGTTTGCCTCCGTAGTCCTCAGTGGCTAGGGAGTGCCATACCTGGCTGGACCTGGCAGTGACGGGTCAGCAGGAACCCGCTCTGTTACCACAAACTGCCGATGGAGAAGTGATACAGGCAGAAGTTCTGCATAAAATCTAAATACACTATGTAACTTCGTACTACGTACATAACAAACATGCCTGCCTCTGTCCTGCTATGGGCCTGGTGCTGCCAGTCTCTGCCATTATGTATCCTGGCTATAACTTCGCCACAAATTTTGTGTTGCTGTAGCTAACTTAGCTTTTGGGAGGATATTATGTAATTGAGTTTCAGTTTGAATAATTCATACATACGTGCGGCTGAAACTTGAAAAATTCCTAGTGTTTCTTCTTATTTTTTTTTTTTTCAGTTACATCATGGAGTGACTGGCTTTTGATGAGTCTGCATGTTTTCAGCCAACATAAATTGTTTTTAAACACACTCCTTTTAACAGCCACGAATTTAGCTAAAAGTGTAAACCTCTATTTAGGCAAGATTCGTACTGAAGTTAGAATAAATCTTTACCAAGAACTTCGTTGTGTTGAAGCTCGATCTTTTTTCTTTTTAGCTTTATTTTTTCCCTGAGCATTGGAGACTGCATTTGCAGTTTAGTCTGATTTACTGAAGCCTGCATTTTTAAGGCTCTTAAGTGCAGAGCTGTGCTACGTGGCTTAAAAAGGGAGTGTGCAAGTAAAGATATGCATCAAGAACACTTGAATAAAACATAATGTTTTGTTCCAAAAATTCTCTTAATATGCAAGATATGTAATGCAGAGTAGGGAGAGTGGGAGAAGAGCACCCGATTGAAATTTATTTGCCACACTTGTAGAAGAATCCAATTTTTTTCATATTGAGATATGACATCTAGCTTTATAAGTGTCCATTAATTATATTTTTTTCATTACGTGCTTATAGAAGCTTGCAGGGATCTGTCTTTCTTAATGCTTTGTAGTGTTATATATTAAAAGCTCTGGATTGATTGTCATTATGAATTTGGATCATGAGACATCTCTCAGTATCTTGTCAATTTTATTGCCAGTCTGTGCTAATGCACAGCAATTAATGTGATTGCATTAATATGCACCAAATCAAGTCTCCTGCTTTCTGTGAAATAATGGTTGTGACGTCTGAGAATTCTCTATTTCGTGACAGAGCTGTGAAAAGGCCTTTTTTTAAAAAAGACCTAAAATAAGTAATCTTTCTTCTTGTTTCTCTTCAGTTGAGCAAGATAGACTATTTTGATTTGAAATGCATATTGTCATCCTGTTAGGCCTTGTTCAAAGGGCCTGTGGTCCCTTTCAGTTTTGCATTTTATTGCTAGTCCAGAGGATGGTTTTGGTGTTTGCAGATTTTCTATTCCTATTTTCAGTGGGGAGTTCTGGCTATACCTTTTTCTGTCATCAGGAGCCCAAGATAAAGCTGAATCTTTCACCTAAACTGAGTTTCACAAGCAGCTGGTTTCGTCTAACTCAGCAGGGATGTGAAACTTCACATAACAATAACTGCTTACCTGTAGCCACCTCTGACTCGAAACTGGGAAAACTTACCGATGGTTGAGGAGTCTTTGCTGTAGAGCAATGTCCCTTCTATTGTTCCCGTCTCCTCAGATGTGTTGGATGCTCTTTGCTGGGCTGACGCCTGCTCTGCTTGTGTAGGTGGTGCACTGCCTCACTGAAGTCTGCCTTCTTGCAGGGAGCAGATTCCCAATGTCCTGCCATGGATGATGACAGCCAGGATGAACTGATAAACGAGAATGCTGCACTAGGCAAGGGCAAAAAACAGAGTCTCGCACTCCTCAGTGAAACAGGTAAATATGTCCTTTCTGCATGTGTGTGTTTCGAGGTCTAGGTTGGAGAGAGAACCTATTGGTTTAACCTCCAAAGAGAAGTAAAGATATATTTGTGACCATTTATTTCTTTTTTCACTGATAATTTTTTTGGTTTGCTTCCTAAATTCTGTATCTCAAACTGCTGGCATGCTTTCCTGGAGTTTCTCAGAACAGGCAGCTTTGATACAACTGAGAAAATCTGGGTTTTCACTTCATATATAATCCTGAGCAGTAGTTCTGGTGTGTCCTTCACTGTTCTGCCTGTCTGCATTGAATAGGTATTTCCTCTTTTCTTTTTAAGAAAGCAATGGTGGAAATAGCTGTGATTCGGAAGATGATACCGGAAGTGAGGAGGAAGATGATTGCACTGAGGAAGAGGGAGGCGAGGAGGACAAGGAAGAAAGTGAAGATGAAGAACTAGAAGGTAGGTCTGTTGATGTGCATTAACAGGCATTTTTTTAATAATTGGAGAAAGAGGGGGATGAAAGCATTTCCTCAGAGATTAACCATTAAATGTAAATCCACAGATGCTGCTGTGTCAGGCCGACACCCTAATCCTACAGTAACAAACAAGTAATATTCCCAATTTTGAAGTTTTTAAAGTATTTGCATGTTTGAAGACTATCTGCTAGTAGTTGTAGTCAGTAGGAGTGAACTCTGCTCCAACATGAGTAGAAAAGAAGTCAAAATTGCAGCAAGGCCTCATGCTATTTTTTCACTTAGGAAAAGCATGTTTGTTTGTTTGGTTTGGCATGGGGCTCTAAAGTGAATGTTGTGATGAGGAGTTTTGGAAATAAATTACTATTACTGTTAAGTGTAGGGAGGAGGAAAGAAGACTAATTTTTCTTTGAAAAGGGAGTTTGGGTGTTACTTGGATTTGTTAATTTTCCTGAAAACATACTCTGTAGATGCATGTACTTCTGAAACTGCTGCACTCAAATTAATGATAATTTGGATAGACAAAAATACAGGTTTTTGTGACATCTTAAAGCTTGTTGTGAAGGCAAGAGCACTGTTTCCCAATTTACTAGTTAGACTGATTTGAACAGAGACTAAAAAGTTGATGCCAGGTGCCAAAAAGCTTTATACTTCCATCATTTAGGATATTCTCTGCAATGTCCAGACAGGAGAATTCAACAGAAAAGAAAGACAAGGGCCCCATTTTCATTATTAAAGAAAAAAAAAATCAACAAAACAACAACAGCTGCCCCACCCCACCACCCCTCAAAAAAAGTGAGAGTTTTTTAGGTAACTTTTTGCTGCTTCTTGAAAATGTCAACTTAATTCACAGGTTTTAGGGGAAAACTAACACACGTCTCTGTGTTTTGTACTAAAAATAAAAACACCTTTCAACAATGTGTGTGTAGTGTTTAAAATTAATTTTACTCAAAACCAAGCTTCTTTAAGCAGTCTTCAGCTAGGCACTCATATCCCTTGACTCTCAAAGTCATGATTTACTGCTGAAATCTTTTAACTGTTCTTCTCCAGGTGAGCGTATTGCTGTTTCTTGTCCTTTGGAGTGTCTATAAAAAAAAAAAAGTTGGATACATCATAACTTTATTATAACTTTATTTTTTAACTTGGTATCCTGACATATCTTATTCTCTTGTTGTTTTGATAATCAGTTGTTTTTCTGCTGTCTGTCCTTTTTAATCTCTTGCAAGACTAGTCTTGTTATCAGGCTTGGTTTTGCTTTATTTTTCACCAGAGTAATCCATTGCTTTTTAGTGAAGGAATTTAGGAAAAAAGAAAACAGCAAAAATTATTGCCTCTAACTGGTGAGGCTGTTCTTTGCCCATAAAATAAGCTTATTTGGAATTTTCTGTGAACTGGTACCCTATCCTGCCCACCCCTTCTGCCCTCACTGCTGAAAAGTGCAGCACACAACAGTTTCATCTCTCACTTTTTAAGATTGTGAAGATGATGAAGAAGAGGAAGAGGAGGAAGAAACTGAGGCTGCTGTGGGGGGAATGGCTGACTCTCTGAAATTAGAGCCCCACATAAATGGAGTGAGCATTTCCTCTGATGAGGACGGCGAAAACTGCCCCATTTGCCTCAACACGTTTAGGGATCAGGCTGTTGGGACTCCTGAGAACTGTTCCCATTACTTCTGCTTGGACTGCATTGTGGAGTGGTCTAAGGTGAGCTGTTTTGTCCCTGATGTCCCTTGGCCTTCTGGTGTGCTCTGCTCTCTCCCCTCTGATCATGCTGTTCTGCTGTAATGAGAACAAAACACTGTAATATTATTTATATTTGCTTTCTTAAGCTTTTTTACATAGACTTGGGTTACTGCTCTGTTTGGCAGGAAACATGTTTGTGGAGTGTGGATCTGTTGTTCTTGTACCCATCCTGGTCTGCTCTGTTCACTGAAAGCTGTAATGTCATAAGCAAGTGTGTTTCTAGGCATGTAAAAGTCTTTTTTTCAAGTCAAGACACCAGTAATACTGGTTTTCTCTGTGTGTATATATTTCTCTCTGTATCTGTCTATCTTTTGTTGAATTCTGTGTTGTGGCCATTGGATGGGAGTCTGTTGTGACAGTGAGCGTTTAAATGTAGAGAAGATATAAAAGAGTGCTGACTAAATTAGCAGTTTGCTCTGAATTCACTTTTTAGTCAGAGTTCCTTGCCACCTAACTGTGTAATTCCATAATCATAATCCGGGGTGAGAATTACAGCAAAACTTACTGTGCATGCGGCAGTACCAGTGGTAATTAAAAAAAAAAATCACTCTTACTCAATATATTGGTAAACCACTTCCAGTTGCTCATCCATCCAAAAGAAAGAAAATGCCCTAAAACATGAGTACCATTTCAAGGGAATGTTTGGAAGAAATTTGATGTTGCTTTGGCAGTTGAATGATAGTTAAATGACTTCGGTATAATAAATTCTTTTCTAAAAATGCATGTTTTCTCTGATACAATAGGTTGTTTGTAAACCAGGTGAGTCAGATTTAACTACCTAAAATATCAAGACCAATAGTTGTTAAAAGGATTACTACATTAATTTAATGCTTATTACATTAATAATTGACTATTTCCTTTTTAAAAACTGAATAAAGAGATGTGCTTATTAACTGTATGGGGAAAATTACTTTTTTTTCTTCCTAGAATGCAAACTCCTGTCCAGTGGATCGAATCCTCTTTAAGTATATTAGCATTCGGGCACATTTTGGTGGTAAAATCTTAAAAAAGGTAAGCTTTATACTGTAGCAAACAAAGCCTATTGCCACAAAATAGCTATTCAAAGGTTTACACTTCTAGCGTGTTTATCTGATATTTGGTGTCTGGATGAGTAATTTCTTTCCTATTTTGACATTGCCTTTTAAGGAACTGTTACTATTTTTCTTCCTCCTTAACCGTGTTTCCTGTAGTATTGTGTGTGGATTGAAGTGTGGCATCGTTTCTGATGGGGGGGGAAAAAAGGGTGGTTTTCATAACTGGCTCTTTTGCATAAATGGATGTTTGACTCTAAGCTGTTCTGTATTGATAAACCTGTCCACATGGGGAAAATGCGCCACATGCATACTGCAAGTGCTGTTATAATATGAATAGGAACAATCTAGGTTATACTTGATCTCTTCTTTCTGTCTTGCTACTAGCTATACTGTGTAGCAGTGGGGTTTGTAAGGGGAGAGAGACACAGGGCAGTAGTAGAGCTCCTACAGGCACAAGTTGAGTGTGCTAGTAGTCTCTCACAAAATAATATTGAAGAGCTGTCATTGCTCTTTATTAATATCAGAAATATTCAGGGGACACTTAAGAGTTTGCTGTTTTCATAAACTGATGGTTTATTATTAAGTGTCTGCATTTTAACAGAAGTGTGAATTAACATTTAAATGATACATTTAGGGGGAAAAAGCTAAGCTCGCTCTCTTCTTTTGTCTTGTTTTGTTGGGTTTTTTTGTTTCTTTGACTACTTTTGATCTTATTTGGGGAATTTTGGTTTTGCCTCTTATTACAATGCAGTTTTCTGTAGCTGTTGGCGTCTGACAGTAGACAAGTTCAGTACGTGTTTTCAAGCATTTGATGATGTCCTAGATGTGTTGAATGAACTAATTGAAGGTTCTGGTATGTAACAGCCATTTTGGTTCATTCACTTCTAGGTTTTGCTGCAGGTACTGTTAATGTGACAATGGATTTTACAAAGTGCCACGTTCTGTATAAAATGTGAACCCCTCTTTTATTTAGATTCCTGTTGAGAACACAAAAACTCAGGGTAATGATGGAGAGGATGATCCAACCTTCTGTGAGGTTTGTGGCAGAAGTGACCGTGAGGATCGCCTGCTGCTGTGTGACGGCTGTGATGCAGGGTAAGAAAAGTAGTGTTGTAGCACCTGTGCGATTGCTGATGGCACTGCAGGACTGGCCAGTGTTTGGTCCACAGGCACTATCTGGTTCGTAGGCAGCCCCTTGCTGTTCTCTTCAGGCTCATTATGTGGCCAGACCTGTATCCATGTGTTTATAGTACGGACATCCCCAGGATGTGATGGATCCTTTTGGTGATGTAGCAGCATATGTGTGGAGAGTGCTACACACATCAGTGCTGCAGACCACTGAAACAGGTGACCATACCTTCAAGTGATGAAGATGTTTGTGCTTATCTGTGCAACATCTGGGTGCAAGGATGGTAAAAAACATAGTCTTACGTCTCCTTGAGAGGGTGCATGACTTGACCCAAATGACTGGGCATTAGTGCTGTGTGGGAGAAGTGCTAAAGATTCACAATTTCATGAAATTTTGAGGTCTTTTCTTTATAGCCAGAGCTATTAAACGAATCCCTTACTCTTGCTTACTTCTTTCTTTGCCTAACATTTTTTCCCCTCCTTGATTAATAAAATAAGTGTTTAAGTAGAGGCATCAACACAACTTTGGGCCTGCAGTCTTCTGCTAGAATTTAAAGCTCTCGTACTGTTTAATCAGTCTTCCAGCATTGTCAGTTTGATGTCAAACGTTACCCATTGAACAAAGAGAGATACTTGCTTGCAATGAATATGTAAAATAATCTGTCTTGTTATCTAACTAGACATCTGGTAAGTCTTGTTTGTCTTTGTGTTCTGTAGTATACATATACACTGATTCATCTTCTGGAGAAGAGACAAAATCAGGAATGCTAAATATTGTTAAACATGTCATCAGAACACCGAGTTTAAAATACTTGACCGAAACCAGTGTTTCATAGATCTGGTCTGAAGTCATGTCTTTCAGTTCTTTCTGAACGTTCATAAGCCTCATCTGAACTCAGGGTATTGCTTCAGATTTTCCTTTGTGGTTCTCAATAGTTCCTCTGATTTTTATTTTTTTTTTATTTTTTTTTCCAAGTCTGATACAGTCTTTTATTTTAGTTTTTTAAAATCTTATTTTCCAAAAATAAGTTCTTTTTGAAATGCTTGACTTCCAGAGTTGGCACTTCTGGAAGCACTTCCTGAAGAAAGAACTTGCAGTCTTTACTAGCTCACCGTGGCTGAGATAACTCTAGAAAAATGTAAAATAGCTTGCTTCAAATCCTAGTTTTATTTCTCTGCATTCTGTGGCCTGAAAGTGGAATGAAAATTTCATCAGTTATTTTTGCCAACGATTCTAAAGCCAATGGAGTCATCTTGTTTGCAGGATTCTGTTTGCAAGGTGCTGTTTCCAGCCATTGCCTTTAGCTAGACGTGGCTTTCCACAATATTTAAACTATGTGGTATAATGCTATTGTCTTATGAATTTAAGTTATGGTTTAAGTAATCAAATCTTTTTTCACTTGAAACCATTTTCAAGTAAGACTTGTTGAAATGTGACAACCTAGCTTTCTGAACTGTGTAAAACTAGCATTACGGTTGGTATGAATACAAAAGCGTGCATGTCTAGACACTTGAACAAACAGTAGAAAAAAGGTTAATTGCATTAATGATATGACATGTTAATGTGTGACTTCATTCAGGTTACCACGTAGCAAGAAAAGATTAACACTGATGTAGAGATACGTGTCAAGAAAGTGAAGAACAGGGCTACATCCACGACCAAAATTCCTTAATTTCATAGATCTCATTTTTCACATTGTTTGTGAGGACCGAGACAAAATACAAGGCAGGAAGTCCCCAAAAGCATCCATTCATTCCTTAAAGGTACAAGAAAGAAGTCCAAAATTAGGTCTTTGCTGCCAGTCACAGAGCCAGAGCAATGTGTTGAGGGCTTGATGACCAGTGTCTCTTGCCCTCTGCATTGCACACAAATAATCCTGGCCAAACTGCTTGGGCACACAGAGTCTTTGTGCTTGTGAGTGGGTGGGCACAAGAGTGCAGGTCAATGAACCTGAGAGAATAAGGATGAGTAAAATCAATTTCCTTTTTTTTTTTTTTTTTTTTTTTTTTAAAAAAAATGACCCTTTTTCCTTTTATTGGTTTTTTT